GAGCAGGAGTTTCATAGGGTGACATTATTACCCGTTGTCGATCATAAAAAGTGCAGTACAACTGTTAGCTCGGGGTCTTTAACGTGCATCACGCAGTATAGACGCTTTGCAGCAGCTGTGCATGGGCATCGCCATAACTGACCTTCAATTTTTGTTTCCCCTTATTACGTTTACTTCACTTCAATATTACCATAGCAGGCTAGGTGATTGAAATCTTAGGTTTTATTCTATCTTTCTCCTCAGCACTGGCTTTTGTGGAGGCTCGTCCACACCAATTTCAGGGCCTCGGTATCTCGGTAAAACAAGAGAAGGTCAGCAATGGCGGCTGTATTCTGGCGCGTGTGTAAAGCGTCTATATGTGATACACGATCGCACAACGGTAGGATGCAGATGGGCGACAAAACCTGAGCTAAAACCCCTTGATAAAGGCTTTTTTTTTTTTTTTTTTTGCAAGTATTGTTAACTATTCTTGTGGAAACGCGCAAGACACGTGCCACGAGTGGGTGCTCCGCTGCCATTTGCTTTCAAGGGCCAGTCATTTTAGTGCTGCGCCGCGATTTACCTCCAAGGGCCGCTCCAGACACGGGCCTCGTGTACTGGCACATTTGACCGTTACTTGAAAAACCAACGCGAACACATCGAGGGGCTTTAGTACCAACGGTTTCTGCAGCGGGAGCTCCGTGCTTTGAATGGAACTCACGCTGCAGGTGCTCTGATCTGCGGTGCCACAACACACTCGGCCAACGATCCCCCACCGCACTTGATGTAGCCTATTGAGCTGAACCAAATGAGATACGCTTAGAGTATCGGCACTCCTGTCCCCGGTATTTTTGTGGGCACCGCCATCTCGGTGGTTAGTACAAATCAAACACAACTGCCGATCGTCATGATTTAAAAGTGCGACTTCCTAAACATCAGTTTCGGTGTTAGGAAGATCACGTAATATCGCTTTGCTTTGTCGCGAACTGTTTAAACATTTGTGGAGGACGGAAAAGCGTTTTCTGTGATTTCAGATAAAGCTTCAGATAACTGACGACCATCATTTTAAGGGCCAAGATGTGTATGAAGCGTAATTCAAAAATTTTTCTCCATAACCCGAACTAGCCAAACATATTGTTGAGGGGAATCGGTGGCCGACTAGGCTAACGCGACTCAGTTCGGGGCGTGGAGCGAACGCTTGCGCTGCAGAACCTCCCGAGTTCGATCCCCACTCCCTGCCCGTTTCGACCTGGATCAGTTTCGTACCGGCACGCGTTCTTGTAACCACCACTGCGTGGTACAAATTAAATACCTCAGGTTGGCGGTTGTATTGCACTGGCTCAATTTCTCATTTACAGCTAAGAGACAAATAACCCGTTGAGGCGTTTAGCATCATGGCTGTATAAACATACAAGCAACACAATTTTTGTTGCTTCCGGAATTCGTGAATCCAGCGGCATTCACCGTCAAATGTAGTTTTCATTTCTTTGTTTCCTTTCCTTTCCTGTTTGAAGTCACGAAACACGCAAAGAGTACGTAGAGGTACGGTCGTTGGTCTCCATGGCGAAGTAAGCGAGCGTTGTCGGAGGCCATGAAGCTATCGTAGAATTCCATTGGACAACCTGCATACAACTTTCGATCGTTTCGCTTGCCGAATTTTTGTTACCATGTGAATAAACTCAGCTGCGTTTGAGATTTGTGTCGCCTTGTTCGTTGTTTTATTTTTACTTGTCTCAGGGTTGGAATAATGGGATGTTATTCTTTTTCCCCACTTGCTTTGTGCGACAGACATTCACAACAGTGAAGAAGCAGAGCGACAGATTACAAAAAAAGGGTTGATTCTAAATCAGATAGTGTTACCAACACTGTGATCTCTTATTGCACAGGTGAACCCTGACAGCCTGACTCATCAACGTCGTACACAAGTCTAAAAGAACCTGCCATCGTTTGCCCGTTCGTCATAGCTTCTCCGGCGACGCGTCGAGCAATACCAACTTTTCGGCGGCATGATAGAAAAAAACGACACCACCAAAAAGCCAGTGTTGTCATTTTTATGTAGACTAGCCCAGTCGTTAACTTCTTTAGAGACATCTGAAGACGCGCAAAGATGTTTTACTGTTTAGATTTTAAACTATTCCACGTAAAGCGATTCGTTTTCGGTCGTGGTAAAATCTTACTTGAATTTCATTGAAAAACCCAGTTTGCCCCCCCCCCCCCCCCCCCCCCCCCCCCGTGTTTGGATGATCACTTTCTTGCTCCTCAGCTTATTGGCCTCGAGATCGACCAAGAGGTGGCGCTACGGTCGCGCTATCATCATCATCAAAGCGCGGATAGGAGAACGGCCGCCCCATAGGCTCTCCACGTTCGCGCGCCAGAATGCGTATATTCTTGCGTTTATTTTGTCGCATACTGTCGGTGGGAAAACACTTCTAGCGGAAAAGGATGCGGTACTGTTCGGTGCTTCAGTGAAGATCGAATCGTGTCGCAGGCGTGCAGCCTAAATTTATATAATCGCTTTTGTGCGTGCGTCGTCTGCTCTAGGCAGACGTTGGAAAGCATGGATCACCACGACTGATGCCTGTCTCCAGCTGAACTGGAATATTTATGTTAAATATTTGTTTTTTTAATGGCTGTATTGGCTCATCAACGTTGCAATTTAAAAAAAAATCCAACCCAGATAACATATAATACTGGTACTGTGGGCTGTGAAATCGCAGCTTCTATGCTTTTTTTAACTTCTAGCTTTTGCAGTCATATAAATATTTAGAATGAAGATAAGTTAGCGCTGTGTTGGAAATTACCATGCTGTTGAGTTCCTCTGTCCTTTTACTGTGCCATAAGGTGGGTGAGTTTTGTGGAGTCTGAACAATTGACTGCGTTGCGATGAGGAGAGAGTGTCTCTTCTAGTTAAGATCTGCGAACTGCACGGTTGGCAGGGCAACTGAATCAAGTGAAACAAGCTGTTCTAATATATGTGCCGTGACTGTAATAAACGGGTGTGACCGAGCAACGCAGCAATGTTCCTGTTATTAAATGCGTTTCTCGGTAGTGTGGGTTCACCTTTACCCGCTTCAATTTTCTTGGTGAGGGCCGCGGATGTCAAGAGGCTAATACAATAAATTTCTGGCTAAATAATCTTGCATTCAAACACAGTAGACTCTGCAACCCCAACAAACGACGCACACCACGACACAGACAGCATCGTCCGCAGTGATACTCTTTTACTGACAAGGGCCAGCGAGGCTTCACGAGACTTTCCGATCACCCTTCGCCCTCACCGAACGTAAGACTGCAGGCAGCTCATCTATTAACTTTTAGATTATTCAAGTAATGCTTTATTTGCAATTTTGTTTTTTCTGCCGGTTAATTGGAGTCTTGTGGTGGAGAAAGTCAACACGGAGTAAAAAATGTCGGCTTTAATATTTTTGACGTCTTTATTTCTTTTGTGACACTGGCTTGCACGGTAAACCAGTTCAGCGTGCTTGTCATTTCACCGAGGGTGATTATAGTGTTTAAATAATAACTTAAAAATACTTCATTCTAAAAGGCCTCCCGTGTTCATATTTATGTAGGACTCACAACGGTGAAGTTTAGAATGGGAATGCAATATGGCCACTTATGACATAGTAAAACCAGTAAAAAATGTGTAGTTTTAACGTCTTTCACGCAATATGACCGGCGAAAAATCAACATACGGATTTATTGATCGATTAGTCTATTAAAGGATAGCGATCAGTCGGGTTAATTTTCTAATCAAACCACAGACTCACTCAGCATTCAATGCTTTGTGAAAGCCACGGTTTGTGCGAGATAACAAAAATACGTGAGACCAGGGATTGTAAGCAAACCAACACACTAAGATTATGGAAGCTTCCGACTTAATAATAATCGCTTTGCTGAATTTCTACGCATGGGAAACGATACAACACAACCTTTAGTAAGAAGAAATGGCAGCAAAAACATAAAACATTTAACAAGGAATATCAAGCTCAGCCTGAAACAGGCTTGCCTCGTCGAGATCCATGCTTCTGAGCGTGCGCCCGTAGCAGACGACGCACGGCGGTATCCCTGCTTTCGCGCGTTTACAATTTCGGCCGCACGGTGGCGACACTGTTCGATCTCGAGGCGAATAGCATATGCAGCTGCGATTTCGACACATGAATACATGGTGGTAAAAGTATCGCACTATGTACCTAGAGACGTGCGATTTAAAACTATACTGGTTAAAGCGGTGCTGGAATCCATATTCTTTTGTGTTCTTGTTATATTGTATATTTGGGTATCGCTGTCGCTTTCTATAAAACAAAACGCAACATGTGTCTGTTTTGTTTCACACATACAAATAGTGAGTATTTCTAGCCAAAGAAATAGTAAAAAAAAATTGCACCAATTACGAAACAAAGTATTTTTCTAAATTCTAGTTGCAAACGCTGAAGTTATGAAGTTTGTTTACTGACTTGGTCTGTGACCTTAAACCCTTCGTGCATTAAATTTAAAAGTCACGTGAAAACATGGATAACAACTTAACATTGAAACACTTGTAAATGAATCTTTCGAATAAGGTAGACACAAAATATTGAGCGTATTTTGCGCAGCGCTCTGTGTGTATTCTTTTCTGTGGCCACGAGTCTACTAAATTTGTAGGGCGATGTCTTCTAACCCAGTTAGCAGTCGTGCAGACGTTTTCTGTCACGCTTTTATGCCAACGATAGGCTCACTTTGTAGAAACCTGCCCTATACACATTCACTGTTAATATAATAAATATAAATTATAGGTCTGAAAAAAAATGTAGCGCACAATCTGTTGGCTGCATTGGGCACCACCTGTTTCTGCAAACGTTTGTTCCTCTAGAACGAAGAGCGGCACTTCCTGCTTTCCTTTCGGTTATTTGTTCAGTCAGTCGTGAAAAACGAGCATTTTTGGGTTATACTTGAGCAGTGTGAAGTCGCGCTAACTGAAGTCTTTAGGAAGGCTAGTTGGAAACAGCGTCGTCAAACCGCCACTGACGGAGCGCCCCAGTATGTCTGTGAAAGACGTCGCCATTTCCAGCACCATCGCGCCAGGCGAGTACGTCGTGAAGAATGAAATGCAGCGGGAAAAAAGCATCCATGCTTTGGAACTATTAGAAGGATCATTTGGGACTGAGGACACCTCCGACCACCAGTTTCTCGACGTGGGCTGCGGTCCTGGAGACTTCACGCGCGACTGCCTCCTTCCCCGCTGCCCACCGTGCCGAAGAATCATGGCCGTTGACGCGTCCGAGGACATGGTGCAGTACGCCCGGGAGCATTTCGCCCATCCCAAGATCTGCTACGATGTCCTTGACATTGGATCTAAGGATGTGTCCGACTTCATAGAACGCCACGGAGAATTTGATCGCGTCTACTCTTTCTTTTGCTTGCACTGGATGACGGACCAAGAAACGGTCTTGAAAAATGTGGCCAAGTTGATGAAACCCGGGGGAGGTTGTCTTCTCCTTTTCAATGCTTCCAGTCCTGCGATGCGCTTTCGGAAAAAGATGGCCGAAATGGAGCGTTGGCAGAAGTACAGAGAGGTACGTAAACATTCGCATGTTTTAGTTTGTATAGTCTTAGTACGCAGCGACCTCGTTTCAGGTGTCACGCAGGAGGCGAGCGCATCGTTTTCGGTTTTTGGTATAACCAGAGTTAAGGTGTAATTATGTCGCCACGAAACACAAGGTCTCAATAACGTCTGCTTCATCTGACATCTTGCTGTGCCTAGTGGCTACACTGGCAAACTAAAATTTATTCATCAATATTTTCCTCTTTTTCATCAAGAAAGATGGTAGCTGGAACACAAAAGCTGCAGAAAGTGTAACTTGACGGAATTTCGGTTCCAAGATGACAAACTTTAACGTAATGTATCATAAGCCAATTATAATTTTAACCAAAAAGAACAATTACGACACCGAGACTTTTAAGAAGAAACATATATTGTCGCTCTAGGAACTAATCGTCATTTTTTGAGGGTGAAAATGATAATGTGCTGGTCTGCCATTGGTCACAGGAGTGGCTGGCGAGCGAATTCTTGATTAAAACAATTTGCAGTGTTGAAAGACATAATCATTCTCCCAGCGTCCACCCCCCCCCCCCCGGTATCATTTCTCTATAGCACCGTGCTTTAGAGCTTAACACAGGTGAGAAAGACAACAATAACGCGACCAAAATTCGTATTCGTATGGTAAACACTGCACATGTCAGTGATTTTAGTAACCAATGGGGGGCCCATAAATCCTTCTCAAGAATCACAACTTGCTACATGCGACTATATTAATCACTGATCTCTATAAGAATTGCTGGATCGCGTTTGCCCGTTCCGCGAATGCGGCCACTGGTGGCCATCTTTTTGGTACAGTTATATTACCTCTAGCAAAGGTACAGCTGCTGCAGCCACTATCATCCATATCATCCATTCATGGCAGACAGCATTGTAGCAGTTGTGGTGGCCTGCTGCCATCAAAAAAACGTAGGTGATATTTCGTGCTTGATTGAAATTGTTTGACGAAACATATTGTTAAAACCCCGCGTGAACGGTAGCCCGATCTTTGAGGACCCGGTGAAAGTTTCACGAAATCGCAGCCCGGGGAAAAGCAGCACAGCACGCATCGAAAGTCGCATCGAAAGAAGCATCGAAAGCAGACGCCGGTACGGAGTCTCCTTTCGATGCGAGCTGCGCTGCTTTTCCCCCGGTTCTGCGCTTTTGTAGAACTTTCGCCGGGTCCTCAAAGATGAGGCTACCGTTCACGCCGGGTTTCAAGAATCTGCTTCGTCGAACAACTTCAGTCAAGCACGAAATAGCACCCACGGTACAGTGTACTAGATCCACGGCTATTTTATGGCAGCCTGCCGCCATTGCGCTGTCCGCCATATTACTATGATGGCTAGAGATAATACAACTCTACCAAAAATATGGCCGACCGTGGCCGCATTCCTGTCCATAGGCGGAGCTGCTGGTCAAACGCGATCCAGCAGATAGATATAGCGATGAGTGATAATAATAAACCTATAGGAAGTATTCACTGGCGGCCATAGCTGTGTGCGCGACTGCTGAGCGCGTGCTGAAGGCGAGCTTCCACGGTTCTTCTGTAACGTGCATTCCGCACCCTCAAGATTGCCGGTCTTAACAGCCTATTAATGTGGGCTCGTTCTGAGCATGCGCTCCAGATAGCACCCACAAATATGGCGCCCAGTGAATACTCCTTATTGCTATATTGCCGCGCGCCAAGTAGGCAGCGCGGCCGTAGCCTAAATAAAGCCTAGTTCACATGCAGCGATTTTGGCCCTAGAGCGGCGCGATTTCTGCCGTCGCGGCGCTTTGGCCAGCACCAGCCATTCTGCGGCACGAGCGCCGCGACGGCAGAAATCGCGCCGCTTTAGGGCCAAAATCACTGCATGTGAAACACGCTTAACGGTTATCGCGCTTGCCTCCCACGCGAATGGCCAGGGTTCGATTCCTGGCCGCGGCTACGCATTTTTGTTTACACTGTAATGTGTCGTTTTCCATAATAAACCTGAGACGAAGGAAAAATAAAAAAAACGGACAGTACAACGAAGTCTCTAACACAGCTTGAAAATTTATTTAACAACCATCGTCTTATGGTGAATTCAGCTGGTAGATCTGGATCGATTTCTAAAATCTGCGAGGGAGGAGAAAACCCGCTCCTTTCGCCACGCTCTGGATCCACCAGGTGAAGATGCGGGCGCGGATTTGGAGCGGCCCAACGCCCAACCGACGTGAACGGAAACGGAAGGACGCTCTTCCCGTGAGCCTCTAGCAGTCTCCCTCCCGGCCCTCCCGTCTCCCGTGCATGATTCCCGCGCTTCTCCCTTCTGCAAGCGACAGCATGGCTGCTCCCGCTCAGCTGTCAGATCCGGCCGTGCGCCAACTGCTGCTGTCCCTCCTCGGAGGACGTGAGGCAGCTGGATACGGCAACGGTGAGTTGGCAGAGGTCCGTGCTCCGAGGTCGGCGGATGACTTTCGGGCGAAACACAAAGAGCTTTCTGCGCACGAGCGCGCGTTTCGCGACCACTAAACAACATGCTCACGTTATTATGCTCGAGTTCACCTTAGGATGTACTGCAGCAGAAGCTCTACTTCGTGTTACCTTAGTGCGGACTAACCGTAGAGGCCGTACTAGCGCGAGGCGGCAGCCTTGACCGGCGCCCTCTCTGCGCGAACGAACGCTTCATGAGCTCGGGCTTTCAGCACGTGTGGCCAACCATAGTGCATGCTTAATTTTGAGACTTGTTCACCTGCAGGATGGTGCTGTGTTTGGCTCTGCTGCTTGAGCAAGGAGCTCGAGGATGACCGCGGGTCTTCCTGTCGTAAAATGGACCGCGTAAATAGGCCAAATAAAATGAAAGCAGTGAAAGTTTAGAGTGTGCGTTTTGGGCTCAAAAAGCAGACCCTACAAGACACTGTTGTCAGCAACGACTCCTGCACTGCGTGTTCTTGAGGACGCCATTGTTTTAGTTATTACTAGTTTACTTTTTTATTCTTCAAATAACATACCTAAATTGGGATTAGAAACACAAAAGACCTGAAAGCTTAGCCAAGCATGTGATTGAAAGGGTTGCACCCGGCCTCTTAGAGTAGCCGTGTAAACCACTTTCCTTTCCCCGTTATTACATTTTATTCCCATAATGTACATCCATGAAATTGGCACATAGTAAATGCATCACTTCAAGACACCTTGAAAAACTTCACTGCTCATTAGACCCCATATGAGCCTTGCTGCAATAACATCTTAAGGCCGGTCGCATAGATGTATACATTCCTACATGCACAGCTACAGTAACTTGTGGTCCAGAGTGACTGGGTCACCGGAACCGAAACCATTCAGCATTATCGATCTGCGAATATCAAAACATAATTGAGCGTGATCAATCTCCAACCTGCATCCAGTTGATGATTCAGGGAAATGCTCTGGGTGTTCCTCTCTGGTACTCGCTATTATGGTCCCTGCTTCGGTTGCTCGATGGTAAAATCTTTCTTGATCAAATTTATAAGCCGATGCATCTCCCTCATTCAGATGCTGCCACACCTGCTGCACTCAATGAAAATACCATGACAAACCTTGGCGAACTTTTAAGCCGGGCTGGTGTTGCTCGTGACAAGCAGTGCTTGCTCAAAATATTCAGTGGAAATTTGTTCTTGGGAGCCTGTGTTAAAATGGTGATTTGACAATGCTGTGAATAACCTTACAGGCCAAATGCCTCCTCCCGTGGAAGCGCCTTCAACGGAGGAAGTCCAGGTAGCCCCCAAGAAAACAAAGAACGCTGGCTGTAAGTGATGTCATTCTACACTCTTTTTTTCCCCGCTTGGCTAGAGAAAGGGGGCAGAACATTGGGGAGATTGATTCTTTGGGGCCATGTTGGCATAAAAAGCTATGTCCAGATTCTAATTCAAAAATCTACTTTTCCCTAAGAAAACCAGATCTCACTATGATGTCCTCATTTAAACTTTTTATTCAGGGCTTGCATGTTGCATGAACAGGGAATGTGGAGGGGTGGCAATATGAGCTGGCACAAAAAGAGTTCAGGCAGGACCAATAAAAATGGCACGTGGATACCTTGAGTTGCGTTAGGCTGGTGGCACTTGACTGTCGGCTCATGTTGCCGCGGCGTCTGTACATATTCACACATCCAAATAAGCAAACGGCACCAAGCGTTCTATATTCGAGCCTGATCATTGAGTAAGTAGTGCCTAAAAGTGTTTCGCTTCGTTGAAAACTAACATCAACGACAAGCCCTAAGTATTACAGTAAATGACTCAATGTTCCTCTTTCAGATGCTGAGTGGACAAGTGGCGAAACAAAGCTGCTGCTTGATTACTACGAACGTTACTTTCCCCAAATGGGACCACCAAAAAAATTTAAAAACAAAAAATGTGTATTTATTAGAATCTCTGAAGACCTACAGACCATACTTAAATCACAAAAAACGCCAGAGCAGTGTAATACAAGACTGAAAACGATACAAAAGCGGAAGCGACAAGCAGTCAACTACAACGGCCGTTCAGGTGTGGGACCTGTCGACGTTCCTTATGAGGATGAACTGGATAGAATCAGCATGATGGATGATAGTATCGAGCCGGAGGTCATCAGGGACGTGCATGGGGCAACGCACAAGAAGGCTATGCCAAGCAGTCAAGCGAGGGCGGCCGCAGCAGCTGCCGCAGAAGCAGCTGCCGCAGAAGCAGCTGCAGCAGAAGCAGCTGCAGCAGAAGCAGCTGCAGCAGAAGCAATACCAACACCAGCCGACAGTGCCGTAGCCAGCACATCCTCTACAAGCTCAGAGGAGTCGTCCCAACCAGCCAGCAGTGCAGGCACCCCTCATCGTTCAGGAAGGGTGAACTCTGCACGCATGGAGCATATGAAGGAGTTCTTCACTGAGATGGCGAAGCTTGAGGAAGCAAGAGCAGTACGAAAAGCACAACAGGACGAGTTGAAGGAAGAAAGGCATGCAGCCAAAAGGATGATAAAGGAAGAGAAGTGTGCAGCCAAAAGGAAGCTAAAGGAAGAGATGCGGCTGGAACGACAAGAAATGCACCGAGAGAAAATGCGGCTTCTCGCCATGCTTGTGACCCAGCCTGAGACGAAACAGGATTGAAAGAATTTTTTCACAATAGCTGTATTCTTGACATTAGTGCAATAAATTCATAATTTGCAAGTGGGCCTTCCTTCTAATCTGAAGTGGATACTTCAAAAGATGGTTAGGTAAACTTACCTTAAAAAGTATTCGAGCATACAACTTCTATGATCATGGCAACGGCAGCTTAAATACTGCGAATAAAACACAACGAAAAGAGAGCATTTGCCTACATACCACACAAATACAGGAATATATTCACTGGAAGCAGAAATGTCTATTGAAATTTCATTTCATTTTTATTTGGATTTTCACCAGCAATGCCGGGTAGGGGGAGGCAGGACAAAAGGCATTTCTGCCTGATGGGCCCCCATCCCCTGTAAAGTTCAGAGCAGCACGCAGAGTTCATTGGCCAAGCTAAAAAAATACGGCAGCAAACATGTTCCATGACTAAAACGCAGAGCAACCTAAAAATAGCAATACGGTTAAAATAAAATTGCGATAAAATTAGACGCAGAAACAACAGTAACACTTATCAGCTCTCAGTTGCTTTTTAAAAAGTTACAGTTTAAACGGCAAGAAGAGACATAAAAATATGGACAGTCAAGGATGAATATATTTCACACAAAACAAAATTGTCATGAGAACGAAACAAGAACATGGTCTAAAGCACAGCAGAAGACTCATTTCAGATCTGCAGGGGAGAACTGCGATAAAATCGGAAGCACAAGCAACATCAACGCTTGTCACAGCCCTTTGTTGCTATGAAAATAATAGTTTGAACGGCAAGACGAGACAAAATTTGGACAAATAAAAAATAAAATATTTCACGCAAAACCTAAGTGGTCATCAGAAGAAACAAGAACAAGTAGAAGACTCATCCCAGGTCCGCACGGGAATGGTGACATGGTGAAGTAATGTTAAATATATACACACCACAGTCACATTGTGAATGTATATTGTGGATCACTCTTCGCATTGTCATGGTACAGTGAACCGGTACTCTATGGTTGAATCTGAATATGCAATCCTTAACCTGTCTACCGACAGTCTTTATCAAAAGCCCAAATCCCATGGCTCGCTGGTCGGCGCAAGCTCGCTCTCGTACTGTAGTGTTGCTAACGTTGGGGGGGGGGGGGGGGGGGGGGAAGGGGTCATGCTACAAACTCCACTACCTGTTACCAAGGCCACTGCCTGTCTAAGAAATGGGGCCTTGCCAGCGCAAAAAAAAACTATCACAAAAAAAAAAAAAAAGAATTGAAAGGAATGTTATGTTACATTGATGGGGAGGGAAAAAGCAAGAACTCGGGCAGACGCCCCTTGTCCCCAAGACCTACATTCTACAGGCCTCCAATGAGGTTGTGAAAATAAGCTTGCGAGTTTCCGTGTCCGGATGGCGACTCATCTCAGCCCCATTTGTGCAATGACCCTGTCCCTCTTCTCCTCTCCAAGTCTGCGGAGGATGGAATCTGTGGCCGTCATGGGCCCAAACTCCTCCAGGGAGTCAGTGTCTGGGCGTCTAGCCTCCCCGTCTTCGGGGTCCTCCACAACGCTATGCTCTCCGGCCTCAATGCAGAGGTTGTGGAGGACGCAACAAGCAATAATGAACTTTGCTGAGTGGTCCACAGTGATGAATTCGAGGAGCTTTAGCTGCCTAAAACGCTTTTTTAGGTCAGCGAAAGAGTTCTCTATCAGCACACGAGTGCCCGAGAATTTCAGATTGAAATTCCTCTGCTTTGCGGTCAGACGACCGTAATCCCGGAAGGGAGTTAGCATATACTCTCTCAAAGGATACGCCGCATCGCCGAGGATGTGGTATTGGCTCCTGCGGCAGATCTCTGGTAGCTTGTCTGCAATGCTTGATGTTCGATACACCCTGGCATCATGGACCTTGCTTGGGTGTCCAGTAGTTACATCCAGGAACCGCTTGTGGCGGTCACAGATTGCCTGCAGTGTCAACGACGGGTAACCATGCCGGTTGACGTAAGTCGACCGGATCTTTTTGGCTGGGCACTCAATGGCGATGTATGACCCATCGATGCACCCAATTGTGCCAGGGACACCGGATACCTGCAGCAAGAAAGGTAGACAAAAGTTTCTCTCGGTGTTCTGAGATGTTTTGTCAAACGAAACAGAATGACGGTTAGCGTCAAATTTGGTTTAAATTGTTCCACTGTTATATCCTCGGTGTCTAGTAAGTTACTGACAACAAAAGAATTAAAACAAACTCGGCAAGTGGGATGACGAACACATCTTTTAACTAGCAGCTGCATGAGTGAATTCTCAAGCATTCTTCGTGGTCAAACTGAACCAAAAAAAAAAAAGCGTGAAAGGGACGAGGAAAGTGCGAACTACAAAAATCAAAATCAGAAAGAAAATATTGAGCCAGAAAAAGCTATTTAATCAGCTGGAAGCTGATTTGCAGCCATGCAAGCTTCCGAGTCCCATCTTTAGACAGGAACAGCGATGGTGCGGATACATTATTGTCAATTGCTCTCATGGTGAATAATTCCATGATTTCCTTGCCCATCTCCTCTCTCGCCTTCCCAAAATTCACTAGGCTCATATCTCGGGTATAGGCAACCTGCAGTGCAGTTTGGCGCTGCACGTTGCGCCATCTAGCGGCTGCAAAATAAAGAAACTGGGTAGGCCAGGCCCGCGCGAGTCGCGGGTGCAGCGGGCGGGCGCATCCAGAAACCACGTGTGAACGTTGCATTCCGGGTCTGCGTGAGCTTTTTTTTTAAACCGTTTTTCATAAAAGTAAGTCCCAACTTCACGTCTCTACGACCTCACCGGGTTCCTGTAACATCTCGCCTACTCTTATAGTTCCCCCAAAAAATAAACGTTGCTACTGCTGCGTGAAAGACGGCCACAGTCGCGAAGGTGACTCAAGCGTCAAACTTCACCACTTCCCTTCGAGATCTTGGAAAGTGAAAGCGACACGGCGACAGAAGTGGATTACTGCAGTGCGACGCATCAAGTAAGTGAATTTTACAGAAACTCTTGGGGGGGACGTGAACGAAAATATATGTGCAGGCTCGGAAAGTGGTCGGACGAACTCGTTTTGCAGACTACTCGGCAAAATAACATATTAAAAGTTGTATTACGAGTTGCTTTGACAGCCACATAGGGAAATACGATAGGAACAATCAGGCCGATTGTTGCTTTGCTGTGACGTCGAGAATCGGGCGATCAGGTCTTTAAGCGAAAGGCTCGTCGGCCCGTTCCGGCACCCCTAATGCCGTTCGGCACGCGTGGTCACAACCAAAACCTTCCAAACCTGCGAGAGTAGATTTTCGTAGCACAAAGTTTTGTTTGTTTCAGCAACCAAATTTAATGCTGAGTCTGGTAACAAATGTGACGGCGTGCAGAAAGCAGGCTAAAAATGTTTTTGTTTGGCAAAAGCTCGTGCGAAGCGTAAATATCCTTCCACATACTTTGTTGCCTGTCGCCTTTTTACACCAGGCTTTGCGATGTGCATACGGTTATGTAGCATGCTGAGTTCCAAATTTTATTCTAGTGTGTGTGGCCGTCGGGAGGAGAGGACGGCCCAGCGAGGCGCGAGCGGGGCCAGCCGGCGAGGAAAGAGGAAGAGCGTGCTGCACGAGGCTGGGACTGGGCAGGAACGATAGAGCCGTTTTGGCTGGTCTGACCCATGGCGATTCCCGGGGGCATTCCACCAGCGAAGTGCGGGTCAGGACTGGCGGAAGCGGCGAGCCCTGGCCATACCGGCCTGGGCTATGACGATCCCGTAGTGGTTCCGCAGCGAGACTCTGAATGTGATAGCGCGGAACAGCTAGCCTACGCAGCACTGGCGTGGGAAGGACGATCCGCAGGCCTGGACACGGGCTCCGACTGCGAGTTCTGAACGACGGGCGACAACTAGGGTTGGCGGGTCCGGACTGCCGGCTCTCGAAGACGGGCAACCGGGATGTACAATAAACCTATTCGCTGCCTTCTCGTTGTATTGTGTCACTTCCTGGGAGACGAGCGAAGCACAGACCGATCGGGCGGCCACAAGTAGTGAAGACAACTCGAACTGGTGTCCAGATGACGACTCTAGAATATTCTCTAAACACTTGAACCTATCAAGACTCCCGATGGTCTTAAAAAACCGCATGAAGAAAACCAGGGACGCACGCAGGTGCACACGGGGACTGCTGAAATCGGGGCCACTGCCGCTCGCAACGGCCCGGCGGGCAGATAGGCCGCCCCATTAACAGAGGCGCCTCCGCTTGTGGCGCTGAATGCAGTACTATCGTGGCGCCGCCTAGCCATTGCCGGCTGCCTATAAGACTCCTATTAGCAACAATAAGTCTCGCAAGCGGCCTTCTGGGAGCCTGTTGGAGTGATGCCACGGAAAGAAGTTTTTCCTAGTTACTTTGCAAATGGTTGCTAATATTTTTGCTGTTTTTAGTACCACATTTAGGTGAAGGTGCAGAGACCATTCAGTGATTGGCGACCGCAGAGACACATGCTCGTTTTCAAAGCTAGTATACCCAATTAAAAGTTCCTGTAAGCTCCCTACTGTTGAGGTGCAATGATCACCAGCACTACCTGTTTGGCCTCTGTTTATGGAGTGTTGTTTTATCCGTCTATTACTATGCCTATGGTTAACTGTGCTCTTTCTGACGAGACTTGCACAAAGTACTTTTGGCCGAACGCAAAGAACTTTGCCATGCATTGCAATATTCGCCAACGTATGAAGATGTCATCTGCAGCGCCACTTCGACTGCTGCAACCGATGAAGGTCGCTCTCCAATTTACACGGTGTGGTTAGATACTGTTGGACCGTTCAAGACATCTCGTGGATGGATGGATGGTAATGACTATACCCTTTGTAATGGGCGGCACCTTGTGCCACCTACCCCTAACTCATATTTGATATATTTGTAGCACAAGGCTACAAATATATCATATATCAGCCTCCTCACGAAATTCGTGCGGTAGTGCACACTGCACAGCCTTTTTGAGGAGATACAGCTAGAATAATTGAATCATGGTACAAACCTCTTCAAAGTCTCTTGACAGGCGCTCCAGATCCTCGGGGAACTTGATGAGGCGCGGTCCGATGCTCAGGATGAAATCCAGAACTCGATCCATCATGCCGTGAAGCGTGCTCTCACCCAGGTTGAAACGTCCGGCAACGTCTCTGATGCATGCTTTGTTAGCCGCGTACCTGAGTTGTGTACATAGAATGAAAACAAAAATCGATGGGAGTGAACACGGAGAACCACGGTCAAGTACTTACCAGAGAAATGACAGCAGGTGCTCCTCTGCGCTCTTCGCTGGCGATCCTCCGTGATCGGCAGCGGGGTACATAGGAGACGCCGCAAACTCGTCGATCAGCTTGTAGGCTGTTCGCCTCGAGATGCGAAAGTTCCGACGGAACTGGAAGCAAAGGGCTTATTTGCTTACGCATGCTGAACCGAACAGATATGAGACGAAGTACGAGACGTATCGCTTACCTCCTCGTCCCAGTAGACGTGAACCGTTCGCTCGATGTAATCCTCGATCTTGGGTCTCTTGTTACGAGGTCCAAAGAGCTCCGTGAACTTTCGTTCGCAAAGTAGCCGCGAACGCGATTCGCCGGAGCTGCTGCCCGAGCTCGAACTTGAACTGCTGCTTGAGCTCGAACTTGAACTGTCTGAGCTCTCTGAATCATCGCTTTCACATAGCAGGAGCACCGACGCACGCAAGTCCGGTCCCACCTTCGACGCCATTTCGCACAACAGCGCGATCCACTCCTGCCGAGCAGGCGCCGAGAAAGGAAGTGACGTAGGGCGCTGCAACCGAGCACCAGCCTATTTCCGGAGAGCTCGCCCGAATTCCACGGAGCGGTTTCGCCGCTCTTTGACGCGCTCCACGGAGCTCGCGCTGCCACAAATCTGCGAGCTGAAGATGGCCAACTTGATCCGAATCCGCGAGGTGAAGATGCGCGCCCCAAAAGGAGCGGGTTTTGAGCGCGCCAGATCTACCAGGTGAATTCACCATTATATACACGTCACCGACCTCCAAAACAGTTCAGAAGACCTCCTCGCCCACTTTGCACAGTACCCTCACCCTCAACATAAACCGAACAACGCACACAAAGCAAACACGCCCAAAACACCAGGGGACGCTACTCGAAAAGGGAAAGCAGGAACTTCCGCACTTGACAAGGTCAGACCGAACCAAACATCACTTATAAACTCTTTTGTTCCCCTATCAAAAAACAAACAAAATTGCCCCCCCCCCCCCAAAAAAAAAAAAAGAAGAGAAGAACCCGAACCACGAAACAAGTGACCCAGCACTTAACCAAAAAAAAAATTATAAACCTAGAAACTTTTTTGTTCCCTTATCAAGAGCTAATGAAGGTTGACTAATACAGTTTCCGAAGCTTAAAATACGTAAAGTTTCCTTTAACACTCTCGTATGGCTATTTTTTTCTCTATGTACGACTTCTGTACCCTCCCACTCTGGTACACAGTTGTTACACTTTATCAACTTTCAATAAAGTGGTTTATCAACCACTTTATGTTTAGCAATTTCAGAGTTCAGTGCATTATTTTGAACTGCCCTTTTGTGCTCTAATATACGATCATTTATACAACGACCAGTCTGTCCCACATAGGAGAACCCACACCGCAAAGGAATATTATAAACGACCTCTTCTTGACAAGGCACCGCTGGATCCCGGTGTTTTTTCGTACACCCCAGACCAGTCCCTGAAAATGGCGTCAACCTTTCGAGCTTGTTCGGCGCTTGTTCTGCGCTTCAGTTCATGTTTATAGTCTACTGGTCCTCTGCAAGTTGGGTCAACGGTTGGCGGAGCTGGAGGCTGATTGGTGCTTCCTGGGTTTTTGCCTGAACAAGAAGTTCGTCGAGGTTGACAGGTGGCCCTACCTCTCAACTATGCCAAGCGGATGGAGCCTCAAGAGGAAAGTGCTGACGTCCTACCGCAACGCTCTCCAGGGTCAAGTCAAGCAACTATGGGAGGTCTGGGACATCATTTGGACACTAACGCATGGATTGAACTATTGTCACTCTGGAGAGTATCGTTCGTGGCGACAGTTGTTGTCGCAAAAGAAAGAGCTGTGTTTTGGGGGGAGTAGAAGAAAGGCTTTGGCAGCCATGACAACAGATAGTGAAAGGTTCACTAAAGATACTTGTGTGCAGGCCCCGAAAAGACCTGTCAATCTGTCAAATGAGAAACTGGATGTAAGAACCGAAGTGTGTTTGGCAAAGGGGCCCAAGTTTTCCTTAGATATAAGGCCTTCGAGAGTTGACATTGTTTCGGATGTGCTTGCGATTTCGACGAGGATTCTTGACCAAGAAAAAAAGAAGTTGTTTATTGATGCATCCTTGCAAAGAGTGTCGAGATTGGTGGATCCGTCATTTCTGACAGATAAAATTGTTTGTAAAAAATTTGGTGATGTGAAGAAAGATCTCGAAAGTAAGGATCTGACCGTGCTTCAAACTGACAAATCAGGAAAGTTCGCTGTCTTGTCAAATGGAATGTTTAGTGAGAAAGCAGATCTAGCGATTACTAAACTTTTTAAACCTTTTACTGGTGATTTGAAAAAGGCCAAGCGAAGAGTGTGTGCAGTGTTAGATGAGTGTGACTTTCCTAACGTAGTGAAGGGTTTGGGGAAAGTGGCGCAGTCAACTTTAAGGTTGAAGTTCTTGCTAAAAGATCATAAACCGGAGTGTCCCTTAAGAGTTGTTGTAAATGAAAACGGCACCTGGCAGAAAGTCCTGTCTGTTTTCGTGCAGAAATGTCTCGGAGGAGTAGAGGTTGATTGTCCCTTGTCTTTAAGAAACTCTGAGCAGTTGATTCAGTTGTTAACGCCTTATCACGGGAAGCCTTGCAGTGCTTTAACTTTAGATATTAAGGATCTCTATTATTCCATGGAACAGACTGAGCTGCTGGTGAGGGTAAAAGGTTGGTGTGAGCAAAATTTGGTACAATTCCAATCCGCGTCTGGAATTGATGTTGACAGCTTCATGAGTATTCTGGAGTACTACTTGAGTTCTACGGTTATTGAGTACAAGGGTGATCTGTTCGTTCAGAGAGAGGGCGTGTGTATTGGCTCTTCGATCGCACCAATTTTGTCGGAAATCTTTTTGAACCATTTGGATCATCACGTCAGTGTTTTTGTAGCTTCTTTGCCGGATGCTAAGGTTATAGTCCGGAGATTCGTGGATGATATTTTGATTTGCGTCTTTGAGGGAACGTCGGTGCAGACGATCAAGCAATGTGTGCTGGATAGATGCCCTCGGTTAACTTTTACAAAGGGGCAGCCTGTTTATGGCGAAATTCAGTATTTGGATTTAAGGCTGTATACCAGCAGTGGTCTCTGCTGGAGGTATGGGAAAGAGGCGGCAAAGTTATTACTGGCCGCCGATAGTTGCCATTCAAAAACTGTGAAGAGAGGTGTGATTGCTTCTGTAATAGGAAACGCTTGCAGAAAGTCCTGTGTACATTGGATGGAGAGGGCAGTAGCCTTGCAGTCGGAGCGTCTTTTGGAAGCGGGCTATAGACAGGTGGTAATATCCAGCGTGGTGTCGAAAGTGTTGGACCGGATTGTCTTTGCCCCCCCGGAGAAAACAGTGTTAAAAAATAAGGTATCTGTTCCCTTTCATCATGCCATCTCACACAATGTCAGGTCTGTGGCGTCAAAGTTTGGCGTTAACGTTGTATTTAAAGCGCAGAACAAGCTCGAAAGGTTGACGCCATTTTCAGGGACTGGTCTGGGGTGTACGAAAAAACACCGGGATCCAGCGGTGCCTTGTCAAGAAGAGGTCGTTTATAATATTCCTTTGCGGTGTGGGTTCTCCTATGTGGGACAGACTGGTCGTTGTATAAATGATCGTATATTAGAGCACAAAAGGGCAGTTTAAAATAATGCACCGAACTCTGAAATTGCTAAACATGTAGGCGAGTGTAACAACTGTGTACCAGAGTGGGAGGGTACAGAAGTCGTACATAGAGAAAAAAATAGCCATACGAGAGTGTTAAAGGAAACTTTACGTATTTTAAGCTTCGGAAACTGTATTAGTCAACCTTCATTAGCTCTTGATAAGGGAACAAAAAAGTTTCTAGGTTTATAATTTTTTTTTTTTTTTTTTGTTAAGTGCTGGGTCACTTGTTTCGTGGTTCCGGTTCTTCTCTTCTTTTTTTCTTTTTTTTTTTGGGGGGGGGGGGGCAATTTTGTTTGTTTTTTGATAGGGGAACAAAAGAGTTTATAAGTGATGTTTGGTTCGGTCTGACCTTGTCAAGTGCGGAAGTTCCTGCTTTCCCTTTTCGAGTAGCGTCCCCTGGTGTTTTGGGCGTGTTTGCTTTGTGTGCGTTGTTCGGTTTATGTTGAGGGTGAGGGTACTGTGCAAAGTGGGCGAGGAGGTCTTTTGAACTGTTTTGGAGGTCGGTGACGTGTATATAAGACGATGGTTGTTAAATAAATTTTCAAGCTGTGTTAGAGACTTCGTTGTACTGTCCGTTTTTTTTATTTTTCCTTCGCCTCAGGTTTATTATGGATACCATTCACCAGCTCGCCTGTGTTTTTTACCTTTCTTCACTAATGTGATGTTCTAGTGGATTCGAGAACCGTCTAGCTGATTCGAGGTTGGAATGTTCTCCGCGTCGAACCTTCTACATCGAATGCTCCAGAATCCAACGCGTGTACAAAAGCGGCTCCGCCTGGCAAGCAGGAGTCAGTCTCGCCCCAGCGTTCGACTCTGCTGCCACGCCGACTTCGACGCCCGCGACGCTCTATTATTATCTTCTGTACCCTTTTATTTTTGGCACAAGTTCGCCACATTAAACGTTTATTTCTTCCTGTTTATTTTCTCTTATTTACTGGTCACCACCTGTGACATTTTGGTGGAGGTGCTGGGTACCGCATGCCCGTGCAGCGTTCCCCTCCAAGAACCCGCAGTGCAAGTCCAGTTTCAAGCCCAGTGAGGAGACCAGTCCCCGCGGAACCCGAAACCCGGACCAGCCGGCGCATCAAGGGAAAGGATCCGGAATACGGTTCGTTACTGGACAAGCCCAAGCCGAAGACGACGACGATGGCCAACCAGTCGCAGACCCCGGCCGCTCCTGCCTTCATCTACCTGCCCGTCGCACCCCGTACTCCGACGCCATTCCACGGGGACGCCCACGAAGACGTCGAGGACTGGCTTCAACAGTACGAGCGGGTGGCCCAGCACAATCGATGGACGGACGACCAGCGCCTGCAGAACCTTTACTTCGCGCTCGAAGGAACGGCCAGGCACTGGTTCGAGAATCGGGAGACTTCGTTGATCTCGTGGACCGCCTGCAAGAATGAGTTGAGGCGAACTTTCACTAACCAATATCGACGGGAGAGGGCCGAGGACCTTCTGCGAATGAGAACCCAGGGCGCAAACGAGACCATCACCAGTTTCGTCGAGGATGTCCTGCGCCTGGTCACTCGCGCCGACCCTCAAGCCACCGACGAGAAGAAGTCGAGGATCCTGATGCGAGGCGTACGAGATGACATCTTCGGAGGCCTCGTCCGCAATCCGCCGACCACCGTCGAAACGTTTGTAACAGAGGCGACCAACATTGAACGGGCCCTGCAAGCACGAGCCGCTCACTTCCATCGAGCTCCTGCCGTCGCTGCACCCACGCCGTCAAGCTGCGCCCTCAGCCCCAATATTGCGGGGATCCGAGAATTAGACCGGGACATCGTCCGTGAAGAACTGAAGAGGCTGATACCTGCCGCCGAACGTC